GCGCCTAAAAACAGCAGTTTTTTCCCAAATTTACGTATGACGTAAGGACGCAGAGCGCTGATGGTTGTGTCTAATGGCATTTGCAATCTCCTTCTCGTTGCTAAGCCTATAAGAGCTGTAATCTGGCTGCCTGCTTCACCAACGTGGACTGATATTCCCAGTAAAAAAGAGCTTATCCCCTGATTTACGTCATTATCGAAAACAGGGTCCTCCGATAGGTGAAGACTGTCGGAATCAAAAGGTCACCTTATTTCATGATTTTCAAGAGGCCGATAAAGGCACAACGTGGCAGACCTCAAGGTAGACCTGTCATCCTTTTGGCTTAATGGAGGAAATGGAAATTGTCATGCTGCAGGGCGGAGTACCGGCGTTACGCCTGCTCCATGGTTTTTGGTCAAAGCTCCTTTTAGGTGACAGCTTAGCCATAACCAATCAACAGTCGTGGGTTGGATGTTGCTGTGATGATTGCTCGACCATCGGACGCATCGACCCAGCACAGGAGGAGCGCACAGGTGAACACTTTTCCCAACACCAGGGTCGATGCGTCAGATGGTAGAGCAATCATCACAGCAACATCCAACACACGTGATGAAAATGACCGACGCGAATTTCGGTCATCAAGCAGTCATGGAACCAAGTGCGACCATCCCGGATGAAGGGGGAGCCGTGAACATTCATAAGTGTGCGGTATCATGGCAACAGCATCCTATAAATACTGCAGCCCCCTGTGCATGAAACACCCGTATCTGCTTTTGTCTCTGATGATGGGTTCGAGCAGGAATCGGAAGAGTCTGGCTAAGAAAGCTCTTGCTCCGGCGATCGTGTCTCCTTCTTCAAGAAGCTGATTTATTTCGTGTACTATTAACCGAACTTTTGCCATATGATTTCGCGCGGCCTGATCCCAAGAAATCTCAGTGAAGCCAGAATCTCGGTCGTTCGCACAAATCACCCTAGTTGAAAGTGACTGAGTAAGTAGTATGCACTACTGAACTACTTTTCGATCTCTTTTTATATACGAACGAATTTTGTAGAATTCAAGCAAAATAATATTCTGTCTTGCTTTCATTTCGTGCAAACAATAATGTTTTCCTCAAATTTTCTTTTCGAGAAGCAATATCTCCTAATTTTAAGAAGATTTTTATTCCCAACTAACTATGCAACCTGTCGTTACGCTAGCGTTTACGGTTTAAAAACTACGAGCTGTATTCTTTCCGCTAAACAAAGCCTAACATTCATACATGCCAGTACTAGTATCAGTAGTAGCAGTAGTAATAAAAGTAGTAGTAGTAGTAGTAGTAGTAGTATGTGCAATATTAGGAGCAGTGGTAGAAATGGTAGTATTAGAAGACGTTTAGGTGTAGAATTTGCAGTAGTGGACGTGGTATTATTTGCAGCAGTAAAAGAAGTCTTAGTATTATGAATAGTAGTAGTATTGACAGAGCAGCAGCAATAGTAGATGCAGCATTGGTAGTATTAATAGTCGTCCTAGTACAAGAAAGGGTAGCCGTAGTAGTAGTAGTAGTAGTAGTAGAAGTAGTAGTAGTAGTAGTAGTAGTAGAAGCCGTAGTAATATTAGATGTACTGGTATTAGGAGTAGTGGTGTAAATAGTATTAACAGCAGAAATGGTAGAGGTATCAGGAATAATAATAGAGGCTTAAGTAATAATAGAAGATGTAGTAGTAGTAGAAGCAGAAATACTAGTAGAAGTAGTAGCAGAAATAGCGGTAGTAGAAGAAGAAGTTGTAGAAGAAGTAGCAGTATTAATAGCAGTATTAGCAGTAGCTGCACCAGTAGAAGCGGTCGTATAAGTAGAAGGAGTAGTAGAACTACTAGCAACAGCGGTGGTAGTAGTAGTACTAGTAGTAGTAGTATTAGTAGTAGAACTACTAATATTATAAATAGCAGCAAAAGTAGCGGAAGCGGTAGAAGTAGAGGGAGTAGAAGTATTAGAAGTAGTAGTAGTCGCAGTAGTGGTAGTAGTAGTTGTAATAGTAGAAGTAAAAACAGTGCTAGCAGTAAAAGTGGTCGTAATTGTAGCAGTATTAAAGGCGATATAGTTAGTAGTAGTAGTAGTATTAGTAGCATACGTAGAAGTTGTATTAGTAGTAGTAGAAGTATCAGCAGCAGTATTAGTAGTATTAATCGGAGTATTATAGTTATAAATGTTAGCAGTCGTATAACTTATAGCAATGGCAGAATCAGCAGTAATATAAGAAAGTTTTTTAAAATTTTTCAAGCCGTTGGTTTGCTTTACCCCTTCCCCGTAGCTTCTCCACAGGCTTCTTCCCATCCGAGGTCCGACTACCCGGCTGCATAAGCTGTTTCCCGATTTCTGGCTCTATTGTGTCATGTTTGAATTCGCGCAACCGGACGCAAGTAAGTCTTGGATGTTTCCTCTCCTGTCCTCAGCATGCAGTACTACATTGATTAAGAGGGTTGTGGTAGTAGCAGAAGTGGTGGTATCAGTTGCAGTAGTAGAAGTGGTAGTAGTCTAAGTAATATTTGTAGCCGTCGAAATCGTAATAGCAAAGGTAGTAGTAGTAGTAGTAGTAGTAGTAGTAGTTGATGTTTTAGTAGTAGATGAAGTAGTAGAACTGGTAGTAGTACTAGTAGAAACAATAGCGGTGATAGAGGTAATATAAGTACTAGTATTATTAGTGGCAGAAGTACAACTATACGTATTAGGAGTAATACTAGTAGTAGTGGCAGTGGTGGTAGTAGTATTATTAGCACAAATAGTAGTAATAGTAGTAGCAGTGTTATTAGTAGTGGCAGTGGTAGAGGTAGTGTTAGCAGTAGTAGTAGTAGCAGTAATAGCAGTAGTATTGGCATTAGTAGTAGTGGTAGTAGTAGAAGCAGGATCAGCAGTAATGTTATTGGCAGAAATTATAGCAGTATTGTTAGCAGAAGCAGCAATAATAGCACTAGAAGAATAAGCGGACGTAACAGTAGCAGCTGCAGCGGCGATAGCGGTGGTAGTAGTAGTAGTAGCAGCAGCTGTAAAAGTAGCATTCGTGTAAGTAAAATTAATAATAGGAGTATTACTAGGGGCAGTAGTAGCAGAGTTAGTGGTTGTGGTAGTAGTAGTAGTAGCAGCAGTAATAGTACAGGCAAGGGTAATGGGAGAAGTAGTAGTAATATCAATATTACCGGCAGTAATAGTGGTAGTATTACTATTAGAATATTAGTAGTGGAAGTATTAGTAGAAGTAGTGTAAGTAGCAGAAGTAGTCCCATTATAAGCATCAGCAGCAGGGCTGGTAATATTGGTAGTAGAATTTGTAATAGTAGACGCAGTGGGATGTTAGTGGTAACAGTAGTAGTAAAAGCAATACATATTGTGAAATAGTGGAAGATGTAGTAGTAAT